CTGACCTTGGCTTCCCTTATTGAGTAGAAATGTGAATGTGGGAAAACTTTGACATTAACAGCTTAATATTATTGAGTTTTTAAATGTTCAAGGTCCAATTTTAGAAGAGTTTAATAATAAATTCAAGTGTGTATTTTAATTATTTTTATTACACTATACCACATGTTTATTTTTATTAGATCATGTATTTAAACCATTATCTTCTCACTGGTAAGCACACATTCCCATGAGCAATGAGATTTGAATACTTTAGGTGTCATCCTCTGTAAGCACATTTTTTTTTAAATCTGCCTTATATTTATACCAGGTTTTTAAAAGGATTTGGCAGAATTCTGTGAGATTAATTTAACCTGCATACATCTGTGCCTTTACTATTATATCTTAATTACTCAACTATCATCTCATTCTTCCAAGAAATTCTGAAAATTCTTTGACCTAAACAGTGAACTGTTGAGGCTGTCTGGTAATTCAACCTAAGTCTCCTCTGGAAGAAGCAGTATCCTCAGCACAAAAAGCTACTCCTTTTTAATATTCTACAGAGTGTTCCAGGACCATTCTGCAGCATTATTTTCACCTACAGCTTGTCTTCCCCATATTTTTTTCACAAAGAATAGAACAGAAGCAAACTGGTTGAGAGACTTGCTTAAGGCTATCCAATAGATTAATAACAAAATAGCATTGGCATACCCTATTTCCTCGAAGAAAGTATTTAATGTGTATGCATTTTTCTACCAACTAAACTAGTCTGTACACTATCAGCAGATAGTCTCAAAACAAACTGTTCTTGCTATTTTGTTAAATCATGGATATGGACTATACACATATGAGAAGGTCCTATAGAAAAACAAGAAATAAGTAGACAGTCAATTCAACATTTAGGTATGGGTAAAATACATAATTGAAATTATGTACAACTGAATGTACATAACTTTGAAATTGTACAGTTACTGATAGCCTTAAAGACTCTTGCATTGGTATCAAAACCAAAGAACTGCTGTGCTAACACACTAGGAAGACAAACAGTTAATCATTCCCTTTCATAAACTCACCAGTACAGTCACTAGCATATAAATTAAAAATTGTTAGCAATGCCTAACCACCTCATTGCCCAAATAACCGTCTTTTCTTATTGTCTTGAGCATGAAGGAAGTGGCAAACCAGTAGGACTGTAATCTGTTATCTGTTACCACTGAGAGCAATGTCATGTTGTGACACCAAGAGAGAAAAAGTCCAGAGAGACAGACATAGAGGAAACTCATCCAATAAAAGCTGTGCTAGACGTTGCCTTCATCTTCCCTCCAAATGACTCACTTATAACTGTGAGAGTACTGGGTGTGTGTGTCTGTGGGAAGAAGGAAAAGAGAAATATGTGAAGAAATGTTTAGAAAAGCTAGAATAGGGTGGGCAAGGGGTGACTGCACCAGAGTAGGTAGTCTCCTGGTCCTGATCCACATGCCTCTGAATCAATTTCATGTGTGCACACACAACCCCATGAACTAGTTATCCCTACAGATCACTAGATGGAGGAGCCCAGACACTCAGTGGCAGAACACATGATGAATCCTAAGGGCAGGACCCTTGGATATACGTACAGTGGAATTTGGATAGCACACATCAAAGGCACACTTGTTCTAGTCACTAGAGAGCACACGAATAAATGTAAATGCAAAAGGAGCTGAATTGTAATGCTGTTGTAAAGCTCCCCTGGCTGCCAAGTATGCTCAAAACAACTTTTTGTTTGCTTGTTTTAAGTCCTAGAGCTTGTAGTTGTTTGCTTTTATGATTAAGACATCAATTTTGAGAAAATCCTTTAATTGCTATGCTTTTTAAAAACTTAATGCCTGGATACTACTCTATAAAGATTCCCTTTCCTCTCTTCTTAGTCTGTAAAATGTCAGCTCCACAGTTCCAGGATCTAGCACAAAGTATAGATCATAAAGATCTATAAAATTAGATCTATAAAATAAAGATCATAAAATTAGAGGGTCACAAGCATTAAGATAAAATAGTTCTTTCTCCCATGAACTAAAAACTAGTGTAAACTTTTGTAGAGTTAAAACTTAAAGTTAAGCTTCAAATAATCCTAGAAAAAGTCAATATGAAGTCAATATAGGATAATAACAGTGAAGAAATCATGTTTTTATAAACATGTTATTTCTGAGAAAAACATTTTTAAACATTCCTAATGAAACGTTTTAAGAACCTAAATTGATAAAAACACTGGAAGTATTAATATGAAGTCTGGTTGACTTATTTTACTAAAAATTGGAAATAAAATATAGATGCTAAATATCCATTATCAGTTTGTAACTGATATTTATAGCTTTATATCAAATGTTGCGCTGTGTAAGCATATTCTGAGTGGACCTTGAAGATCTATGGACAGATTTCAGACAGAATATCCTTTATAATTGCATGAAAAAATTGTGCACCTACGTGAAGCTATCTTCCATCAAACTTCAGATGGCTTCAAGACATAAATGAGAAAGCTTTGAAAACACCAACCCAAAGGCTACATCTTACACAATTCAAATCTTTTTAGTAACCAGTAGTGCTTTTCTTCTAGGAGTGGTTTTCCAACTAAAGATTGTTATACTTACCCAACTAGCAAGGCATTATCTCAAACTTTTGTAATATTTGGTCTACCCACTCCTTGCACAATGCAAATTTCTTTTCATTATCCATGCTGTGTGGAGAAAAGGTAAGAAGTGTCTGATAGAATAAAGACTAGCTTATAGGCTAGTAAGAGTGTTCTTAGAACCTTAGAGAATTTATTTAAAACCAAAATGAAAATGCACGTATACTGTCCAATATTATTGTCTATAATTTACAAAGCAGTTTCATTTTTTTATTGTCTCTCAGAGAGAGAGAAAAAAGCTTTCTTCCCCTGTGTTTTAAATAAATTCATAGGCACTATGAGTTATCTTATAAAAAATTATTTGGCAATATATACATATTTTTTAAAGATTTTATTTATTTGGAAGAGAGAGATCACAAGGAGAGAGAGAGAGAGAGAGACAGAGAGAGGAGGAAGCAGGCTCCCTGCCTAGCAGAGAGCCCGATGTGGGACTCGATTCCAGGACCCTGAGATCATGACCTGAGCTGAAGGCAGAGGCTTAACCCACTGAGCCACCCAGGCAGCCCCTATTTGGCAATATATTTAATGACTTGCAACTAAATAGTAACTTTAAACTATACAGACTTTTTTACTTAAATAGGCAGTGTTCATTTCCAGAACAATCTCATAAAACAACAACAACCACAACAACAACAAAAACCAGAATAGTTTTTCTTCTTTGATGTCCAAAAGAAATGAGCAAAGACCAGGAGATTTTTATCCAAAAGATGTATTTTTCTTCTCCACATTTTTTTTAAGATTTATTTATTTATTTGAGAGAGAGAGAGAGCATAAGCAAGCATCGGGGGTGAGGCGGGCAGAGGGAGTGGGAGAGAGAAAACCAAACAGGCTCTGTGCTGAGTGCAGAGCCTATCACAGGCCTGATCTTATGACCCTGAGGTGAAACCAAGAGTCTGATACTCAACCAACTGCACCATCCTGGCGCCCCTCTTCTCCAGATTTCTGTACATCTAAAGCATCCTGCCTATAGGGAACAAAAAGAGTTTTCACAAAGCTGATAGTCCAAAGTTCCCCGTACAATGGCAAAGGACTTGTCAACACAATTAGGCATAAATATTAAATGCTTGATTGTCAATGTGCATCATGCAGACGAAAAGAATGCATGGTTCTTTGACGATTTATTCAACCAGTTTTATTAACTTTATATAAACACAATTCAAGAGATGTTTTGAAGAAGCCATAGACTCCCAGTATTGAAGCCTTATCTTTATATATAAGGCTTATCTTTATATATAAGGCTTCAATACTGGGAGTCTATGGCTCCCAGTATTAAGTATCTGATTAAGTATCAAGTTTTGAAGCTGACTATAGACTCACATAACTCATAAGGCATTATCTCAAACGTTTGTAATATTCGGCTTTTGCACATATTATGTCCCAGTTTGTCATAAGTGGATTCCAAAATCAAAAGAGAAAAAAATATCACAGGAGGGGGATAAACAAGATGTTTGAATATTTCACTTTTTGGTTTAATTTTCAAGGGTCTGGTTATTGTTTTTCTATAAAATATTACCCTGCCTAATAATTTCTGAACTCCTTATTCTTTATGTTCAACTTTTTTGTAACTTTATCCTAAAATATGCATGTCTAGATTTGCTCCCCAATTTAGCAGTGTGCTTAAGGTTTTGGGACCAGAGAAACCTGAATTTTAGCTCCAGGTCCACCATTTGCCTATTGATGGACCTCAGTCACTTGTTTCATGTCCGTAGGCCTTAGTTTTCTTATTTATGAAGTGTGTATTGTCTCACTTATACTCCAAAAAACCTGGCTCATAATGTTTCTGTGAAGATTAAATGAGCTGATTTATATGAAGCTGTTCAGTGTCTGGCACAGAGTAACTGCCTAGTAACTATCAGCCATTGTTATTAAAATGTAGTTATACAAATGTTCTGCTCCTGCCAGTTGCTTACTCATAATATACTAAAATGTATTCTGCCTCATCTTCATGCCTTCTCAGAGGATGCCACACATCCAAATGCTAATCATACATCAAGTCTGTCTGTCATGCATCCTCATAAAATCATCCCTCAGAATATCTTCACTCTTTTTTCATCAGGTAATTATTGACTACACATATCATTTGATAGTTCATTTTTTACTGTTATTTATCTCTACTTCCCAAAACTATTATTTATACTATTATTTCAATCTTTGTGATTTCTGGTGTTAAGGATTTATGTTCAGTATTCCAAACCAGACTGTAAATTCCTTAAGGACAAGCATATCTTATATTTTTTTATACTCTATTATATCTAGCAGAATGTCTTGTTCTGTATGTACTGTGTAGTGTTGATTTAATTTTTAAGTCTGTAAGATAAAGAATCTAAAATTATCTTAAATATATTTGTTTTACAATTGTGCTTATAGCACTGACTACATAATGGGATTTGGAGTCCTGAGAAATTACTACAGCCAGTGATGTGCTGGAGCTAAACGCTACTCTTACAAGAGCCAGTGGTGTGTATCTCTTTCCCAGTTCTGCATGCAATGATTTCTCATTGGTAGTTTGAAACAATCCATATTAGGGGTATTTATACTTTGGGAATTGGCAAACACTACAAATCTGAACTTACTTTTTCTCATCTCTTTTGTTCGCTTTCATTTTTTTCTTTCTTCCTTTATTTCCTTCCTTCCTCTTTTTTTTTTCTTTCTCTTTCTCTCTCCCTCCCTTCCTCTCTCCCTGTCCCTTTCTTTGTTTTTTTCAAAGCAAATTATTATATATTTCCCAGGACACCACTCTTTAGAACTCACAAAGATGGATTTAGAGCCATTCATAAGATGTGTATAGATTTAAATACCTCTTAACTATTGAGCAAACTCAAATAATCTATGACTCTTTTCCAGAATCAGAAGGCATTCTGTGAACACAGAAATAACATACTCATGTGTTATAATTTACAATTACCATTTAAATATTAATATCCTCTGCAGGTTTCCTGTCTCACCTTTAGGTCTTTGATCCATTTTGAATTTGTTTTTGTGTATGTTGTAAGAAAGTGGTCCAGTTTCATTCTTCTGCATGTTGCTGTCCAGATTTCCCCACACTTGTTGAAGAGACTGTCTTTTCCATTGGTTATTCTTTCCTGCTTTGTCAAACATTGGTTAACCATATCGTTGAGGGCCCATTTCTGGGTTTTCTATTCTGTTCCATTGATCTATGTGTCTGGTTTTATGCCAGCACCATACTGTCTTGATGACTACAGCTTTGTAATACAGCTTGAAATCTGGAATTGTGATGCTTCCAGCTTTGCTTTTCTTTTTCAAGATTACTTTGGCTATTCAGGGTCTTTTGTCATAAAAAAAGAATGAAATCTTGCCATTGCAGTGATTTGCATAGAGCCAGAGTATATTATGCTAAGCAAAGTAAGTCAGAGAAAGACAAATACCATATGATTTTACTCATGTGGAATTTAAGGAATGAAACAAATGAACACGGGAATAAAAAAAGAAAGAGAGAGGCAAACCATAAAACAGACTCTTAACTGTAGAGAACAAACTGAGGGTTGCTGGAGGCAAGATGGGTGGAGGATAAATGGGTGATGGGTATTAAGGAAAGCACTTGTGATGAGCACTGGGTGTTGTATGTAAGTGACGAATCACTAAGTTCTATTCCTGAAACTAATATTATACTATATGCTAACTAACTAGAATTTAAATAAAAACTTGAAACAAAAAATATATGTTTTGCAAATGATCTTGTTATTTGGCAGATAGTCCATATGTTTGTATAACGTAGCTATGGCCTTAGTAGCTATTTTCCAGGGATTTTATGTATGTATAATCTATAATCCTTCTAAGCCACAAGCTCCTCAGAAGAATTTACTGGATTAAAGACAAGTGTCATTCAAGAGCTATACTAATGACTATACAGGGCTCAAAGTAGTCACTCGGGAAAAAAAAATTTATGTCCATTTATTATTTAATTTTAAAATTTAACATTTTTGAAGATGAGAGGGAATTTAAAAGAAAAAGAATATGTTCTTGAAACTAAATAATTACCAGTGCATGATTACGTTCTTAGCCTTGGAGTTACAGATAGAGATTGCAGCAGCTTTTTTTTTTTTTTAATGTCTCCTTTTGTCATTTGTTCTGTAATTCAAGCTTCAGTATTTAAAAGTTTCCATTGTCTGCATTAGGTCAGCAATATAATCCTTGAGAAGCTTATATCTGTTTAAAACCATCAGCTTGATTTTTTTTTCCCTAAAGCACCTCCAGTTCAGGTCCTGGGGTCAGCTCTGAGCCTCTCTGTATTGCATTCAGGAATAATATTCTTGAATGTGAGAAAGAAAGGAACAAGAGGAGGATGCATTAGTAAAATCTTGGTTTGTATGTGATATATTTTTCTGCATTGAAAAGATTTGTTATGAAGATTGATATAAAATACCACTGAAAATAAAATATCATTCCATATCATGATCACATACTAACAGTCCAGTGATCCATCAAACATTCAAGACAATACTTTATTGTATGTGAGCCTAGAAATCCACCTCTTATTTCAGGAAAATGAGAAATTGTCTTACCACAGAGGCACTGTGTTTAAATCATCTTGGCCAAGAAATCCAAAGGAGAGCTGAATCCCCACTATACAGTGAAACAGACATGGGGTTCTAACTCCCTTGCAATAAATTAAACTTTAATGACCGGATTTCCTCATTTGCAACTTCCCAATTTTGACAGTTTAAGTTTCTGATCCTGGAACGCTCCCTGTGCTTTCTGCCGGGGCCTGAGCACCTTATGCTCCCATCCTCCAGCAGCAACTGCCTGCAGACAGACTGAATCTAGGACCTAAATTCTCTGTTAGAATGAAGATTAACAGGTGTTAAAGACATGTTAGTATTTAGATGAGTGGCTCACCCAGATGTAAACAGAAGAGATTAAAGAATATTTGGGGCAGGGGCACCTGGGTGGCTCAGTGGGTTAAAGCCTCTGCCTTCGGCTCAGGTCATGATCTCAGGGTCCTGGGATCGAGCCCCGCATCGGGCTCTCCGCTCAGCGGGGAGCCTTCTTCCTCCTCTCTCTGCCTGCCTCTCTACCTACCTGTGATCTCTGTCTGTCAAATAAATAAATAAAATCTTAAAAAAAAAAAAGGAAGAATATTTGGGGCAGGGGCGCCTGGGTGGCCCAATCATTAAGTGTCTGCTTTCAGCTCAGGTCACGATCCATGTCTGGCTCCCAGCTCAGTGGGAAGCCTGCTTCTCCCTCTCCCACTCCCCCTACTTGGGTTCCCTCTCTCTTTCTGTCAAATAAATAAATAAAATCTTAAAAAAAAAAAAAAAGAATATTTGGGGCAGAAACTGCATCTCTGGAATATATAGTGTGACAGGATCAAACATTCCAAGTATTTGTCTTTTGTGGGATCACTAGAACCTTCCTGCTCACATTCTAAATGAGGAGAGTATCCGCGATGGGATGTCTAAATAGAGACCCAAGATTATGGTGCTTACTGGGGTAAAGCAGCAAGGAAAAACATCCAAACTAAAAAGGCAGCTTACTCTGTAAACAGTAATTTTAAATTGACATTTGACTTTAGATAAGTTGAAACATCTGAGCCTAAATCCCATGCCAAATTAAAACATACATAAAAACCATACTTTGGGGTTGCAGACCTTTCAGAGATGGAGTGGTAGTATAAGTATATTCTTTACACAGACCTGCTCCTAGTCATGTATCTTCCATGTTTAAAACCTTTCAACTGTTTCCTCTTTCACTGTAGACAAAGTCCAAGCTCAGAATGGAAGGGAAGCCCTAATGATCTGACTCCTCTTGCCTCACAGTTCACTCCTTGCCCCAAATATTCTCTGGGCTACTCATACCACATTTCTCCTATTACCTTGCTTTCAGGCATTTTCACAAGCTGTTCTTTACCCAAAGCTCTGATTCCTATATATCTGGGAGAACTTAGCTTGGGCCTTTCTCCTGGGAAAACTTTGCACACTCCTAAAGGCAAGGCTAGATGCCTTTTGTATTTTCTCCATACCCCAGGTACTTCTTCATGTAATGCAATGATGTATCTTAAGTGTCCATTTACGTCTCTCTATCTGCTAATAGGAAGCCAGCTTCATAAAGGCAGGGGACAGTTCATTTGGTTCATGCTGTGTCTACATACATACTACCTGTCTGTCAGTAATCACTGCTTACTTAATGAATAAATTAAGCTCTTGTGACATTCTTGTGTCATCGCAAGGAAATTGTGAGAGAAGAGAACCTGTTTTGTTCATTGTATGTACAGCACTAACATCATACCTGACAATAGTAGATGCTCGATAAATATTTATTGAAGAAAAATTTGGAATACTGAATAACATTTAAACTATAATGCATTGCCTTTGATGTAATGGCTAACATGACATTAACACTAATATCTCTAACAAGAATGCTAAACAGTTTCAGTTCTGTTAAAATCATAATAACCCAGGGGGGAAAATACCATTCTTGTTATAACAATCATTACTACTGTAAATATTAATTATTTTGCCTATTATAGATCAAGAATTTTCCCCCCTCAGGTATTTTCCTGATTAAATATTTGTAGTCTATTGAGTAGTGTTTTCAGATTTGCATCTTTGATTTTTAGTAATATCTAGCATCCTTGAAATATGTTATTTTTAAGCTACAAAAAGCACTTCTTGATTCCTATATAGGAACGTGGTTGGGTTTCTACATTCCTCAAAGAAAAAACAAAAGAAGTTATTTGTACACATCTTCACCTAGAAAACTTCTGGAAAAAATCAAAATGTTTAGCTAGAAAGGTACCTGAGGGATGATCTTGTTCAGCATCACACTTAGGAATGAGTGGTTTCTTCCTCCTTTTAAAGGAAGAGGAAGGCAACTAGTATTTAATTAGTCTGCTCCAAATAGTTAAATATTATTCCTTAAAAATAATGCTCGTCCACACACGCATACACATCACTCACAGTCATTACCTCTGCATATAGTGTAGACAATTTGCATAACTACTTTAAATGATAAAAACACTTACAAATCTACCTGATCAAGGAGAGGTAAGTAGAGTGTGCATAGATTTATGGTAATCACATCACATCCACACAAGTGGTATTCTCCACCACTCCCCATCCCAATCTCTACCATTGGAGTGAAAGAATCTCTTTTATAGTCCTAAGTCAAGAAAATCTCTTGAGTCATAATGATTATTGTCATATAAATTATATTACTATAGAAATATACCCCTATTTCATTTTTTTGAAGATTTTATTTATTTATTTGACAGAGAGAGACACAGCTAGAGAGGGAACAGAAGCAGAGGGAGTGGGAAAGGGAGATGCAGACTCAGTGCTGAGCAGGGAGTCCTGATCCCAGGACCCTGGGATCATAACCTGAGCCAAAGGCAGATGCTTAACGATTGAGCCATCCAGGCTCCCCCCTAGTTTATTTTTAATAAAGTAAAAGGACAACAACAAAAATTATTTGGTATTCATTTCTTAATCTTGAGAAGTGCTTGAAGTTTGAACTTCCCATTTAAGAAAAATGAGCAAATTACAAGTTAACAAAGTCTTCCTATTTCCTCTCTCTCTCACATAGCACTCTGTTCCTTACCTCCGTAGTTCCTCATTTGGGCCTGACTTCTTAAAATGTTCTTTTCTCTCTTTGAACTCAGGAATCATCAGGCAAAGCTAGTAACATCAGAGGTGTTCACTGAATAGCTGAGCTGACAAAACCCACCTTCTGAAAGCAGAGTGAAAGTGGAACCTCATGGTGGTCTGGGGAATATGGCATTTCCATTCACAGTCCAAGCAACAACAGAAACAAGGTGAGAGCATGAGAGTTGGGCATCTTAAGGTAGTGGCAAAAGAAGAGTTTCAGGAAAAGCAAGGTGGAGATAGTGGCTATCCAGTAGGTTACTTATTATGTGGTATGTCTGTCAGGAGCCTGCATTCGCATTCAAAGTCAGGGACTCAGGAAAACAAACAAGAATAAATCAGGGTCCAAGGCCAAGGGGGAATGTGGGTACACAAGAAGGGGACTAGAATAGAGCTTTGAACACAAGGATCAAAGTAGAAGACGCTTATCAAGCTTGGGTCAATACTGGATGGCTGAGGATGCTGAGCCACTGAGTGTTGGTCTAAATGATTCAGAAAGATCCTGGGAAAAGGTGTGCTGGGCCTTGAAACATATTTAGAGACACCAGACTTACAGAGGATGGGAAGGTATAGTATTGGAGTTGATTTCTAGACCTTTCTTTCATCTCATGATTTCCTTCAGAATTTCCTGCACTGGTCTCGGGGGTTTCTCTATATGATTAATCCTTTCTCCTTATGCAATTTTAACTATAGGATGGCCCCTTACCAGTTAAGACTGTACCTTTCCACATCTCCAGAAGGCCCTCACAAGTTAAGGAAGAAGCAAACTGTCAGCAAACTCAGTCCAGTGAGCACAAGAAAATACTGAAACTGCGCCACCTCTGCTTCTCACATTTTTTATCTCATACAGAATGGCAGCCAGAGTAGTAAAGTACACTCAAGGAAAAAATATGTTGCTCTTATAAAAGGTAAAAATGCCTGATGAAATGTACTTAGGAAATAACCATGGCTGACCATTAATCAACTATGTATCCATATCACTAAAAATAATCTATCACATAAATTCCCTCTTCCCTCTTAGCTGTCATTATCCTTGATCAAGTCTTGTTATTGCTAATTTGGATTCTTAGAGGTCTCTGATGGACAATCCTATAGCAATTAATTTTTCTCTGCTCTAATTCTATCTATATGTCAAAGCCACTGTGATTTTTATCACTCTGTTACTCCATATTTTTCAATAGTTACATATTGTCTACCAAATTAAGTTCACTTTTAAAAATCTGGCCTAAACATTTTTGCATTACTTTCCACCATTAATCTGTACCCAATAAATCTATAAACTTTTATTATTCCTGGTTTCCCAAATACAGTTATCTCTTTCTCACATCAGGCCTTAGTCTTTGCTGTCCCTTGCTGAACATGCCCTACCTCCATCTCTACCTGATAAAGTCCTACACACTCTTCTAGATTCTGCTTAAATGTCTAAAGTATTTCCTCTCACCTCTTCAATTTTTCATGGCTCTCTGTCTCTCATGTCAACTTTACTCATCCCATTCTGTGCTGGACTGAGAGTTTTCTGTGTCCATGGCATAAGGCTTGCTCCTCTTAATATTAATAAACCTTTGAATTTAACTGAAGCAAGCATGATTCTTATAGACACACACATATGAGCCACACACAAACAACACTATTTTGTAATAGAGTACTATGCCCAATAAATTTAGAATTTTTTTAAAGTGATACCTGTACACTAAGCTTCCATGGAGAAAGTACAAAGATTCTAATCTTACAGAGACATGGTCACCATGCAGAGTGTATTTTCAGTTTTCTAAAGTTTGACTTTGACCATCATCCTCTTGAAAAGTCTCATGTCTACAAAATGCTTTCAGAATCTTTATGGAAACCACCATTTGGTCAAATGAAAGAGGAGAATTGAACTAATCAGGAAATCATAAAAATCATATTTTAGCCATTCAGTCATTCTGGTAAAATCTATGGAAACTGAACACAGTAGCCAGGGGCTTTTTTTTTTTTTTTTCCTTTATCAAATCATGCAGTTGACTCAAAAGGAAAGTTTCATGACAAGGTTTGTTTTGTTTCTTTAGTAGTGGTTTCATAAGTATGGGTCATGGGTCAGGATGGAGGTAAATGTTAAAGCCCTCTTAACTTACAGGGGCACCTGGGTGACTCAGTTGATTAAGCGGTCTGCTTTCTGCTCGGGTCATAATCCCAGGGTCCTGTGATCTAGCCCCTATTTGGGATCCCCGCTCATCAGGGAGCCTTTTCTTCTCCCTCTGCCTGCTGCTTCTCCTGCTTGTGCTCTCTCCCTCTGTCAAATAAATAAATTAATTATTTTTTTTTAATTCCTCTTAATTTAGAAACTCCAGCCTCTGTCATCTTGGTATCTAAATAGTGCTAGGGAGAAAATGATGTATTCCACATGAATCTGGAAGTAAACATGATCAATATCCTGAAAACCAAACTTGACATGGCTTTTGATTTTAAATGAAATCAGTATAGTCTTCTTTTTTAAATCATTCATAACCGTCTAACTCAAAAAACAAAACAGACAACCAAACCATTAATTTTGATTCTGCCACAGCAAAACAAGTTTTGTAGTAAAAAGAGAAGGGCTAAGAGAATGAGACGCTTTGGGTCCTAGTTCTAATTCAACCTCTGGCCCTGTAAACTTGGGTAAAACACTTCACCATTTAAATATCCCACCTCCAGTCTATAAAATAAGGAAGTAATCCTGTTGCCTTACCTACTTCATGATGAGGATTGAATAAAGTAAATTAAGGGAAAGGATTTTATAAATTAAGTACCAAAATCTCTGATGATTCTGATGCCACTTCCCATTAATCCTCCAATGATCTCCATCCAGCAACTGTATAGTTGGGCTACCTGTCTTCCTCTCCACTTCATAGGCCACCATCTTGACAGAGTCTGTGGTTTTCTAGTTACCTGAACTTGTGAGGGCCTCTGGCTCTTCCTGTCTGCCCAGCTGAGTCTTGTACTTCCTTCAGAGACTTTGTTCCCCATGAAACTTTCGACCTACTAGGATCTTTTTTTTTTTTTCCAGAATTCGTTGTACACTTATACCCTCCACCCCAAACAGAATATTAGCTTATGACTTTGTATACTCTGGTTATTACAATTTCAAATCTTTGTGTCACTAGAGTATGAATCTGAATGTATAAAGACTGTGTCATCTAGCTCTTTTATATAACTCAAAGTGCCTAGCTCAGGGCTGGGCACTTCTTAAAAAGAATGAACTGGGGGCACCTGGGTGGCTCAGTGGATTAAACCTCTGCCTTCAGCTCAGGTTATGATTTTAGAGACCTGGGATTGAGCCCTGACTTGGGCTCCCTGCTCAGCAGGGAGCCTGCTCCCCACTCCTACCCCCTGCCTGCCTCTCTGCCTACTTGTGATCTCTCTGTCAAACAAATTTTAAAAATAAATAAATTAAAAAAAAAAAAAGAATGAACTGCTTATTTTCCAACTTTCTTTTCCCAGAGTTACTGGCTAGAGGACACTTCATACCCTAATTTCTGATATCTAATAAATCATAAAGACCTCTCTGTTTCATCTTCAAGATAAAGTCTCATATATAACCACTTTTCTCTTTCTCCCTTTTCATATCCACATTTCATCTGCAGCCCTTTAAAACTTTACACTGCTTCCTTGTTTCAGCAATGGCTTTCAAATGATATACAGAACCAGAAAAATCCACTTTTAGAAACCAATTATGCCTGCTTTCTGCTTAGAACCCTTCAGTGGCTTTTTTATTACCCTTTAAATAAAATCCCACCACACAGCAGTGGCCTCCAAGGCCATATATGTTCTGGCCCCCACCAACCTCTACAACTCACTATGAGTCATTCTCCCCATCTCCCTCTATCCCAGGTACATGGCACCCTTAAACTTCTCACAGAGGCCATGGTCATTTGTCTTAAGGCCTTTGCTCAGGTTTTTTTCCCTCTACCCAAAGTGTTCTTCCCTGGCAGTTCTCATAATCAGTTCCTTCCCTCCATGTACGGAAGCACCATGGTTGCTTTTTCTCCCCTAATTCCTTCTCTTTAAAGGGGACTATTTGAGCAATCCCATCTCATACCCTATTTATTTCTTTCATCTTACTTATTCTAATGGGTAATTATTAGTTATTTTCTGATTTACTTCTGCAGTTATTTCTCTTTTCACTAGAGTGTAAGATGCATGAAGATAGTAGGCACCATGTATTTTTTTTCCATCATAATGCATTCATAGTACCTAGTACAATTGCCTAGCACACAGAAAGCACTCAAAAGTATTTGTCAAATGAAAATTTAACAAGTGAGATTTGAGTATTTGGTATATGCCAGGTGCTAGAAATACAAAGTAAAATAATTGCAAGTTTGTACCCCTAACTCCATGTTCAATGATGTCATCATGTTTTTAGCTTAAATTTGGCCATGGTGAGAGTATTAACACAAGAGAAATCAGAAAATACTGAAAATCTGGGCTTCTGTCCATGCTACCCCTCCCCCTGCATGACATTCAGCTTATAAGGACATTACTCCAGATAGGAAAGTACATAATTATAAATACATGTGGAAAATATCATGGGAAATAGTTCTGGGAAGACAAAATATACATGTACAAAAGTTAAAGTTGGACCCTTAACTTACATCATATGCAAAAAATAAAATGGATCAAAGACCTAAATGTAAGAGCTAAAATTATAAAACTTTTAAAAGAAAACATAGAGAAAGTCTTCATGCCATCAGATTTGTTAATTTCCTGGCTATAACACCAAAAGCACAGGCAACAAAAGAAAAAAATAGAAAAATTGGACTACATCAAAATTTAAAACTTTCATGCATCAAAATATGCTATCAACAGAGTAAAAAGGCAATCTACAGAATGGAAGAAAATATTTTCAAATCCTATATGTGATAAGGTGTCCAAAATATATAAAAATCCTACAACCCAACAGCAAAAACCAAATAACCCAATTAAAACAGAGGCAAAAGACTTATACATTTCTCCAAAGAAAATACACAAATAGCCAAAAAGGTACATAAAATGCTCAACAGCATAAGATGCTCAACAGCACTAATCATTAGGGAAATGTAAATCAGTCCAACTTACAA